ATAATCTATTTAAAATATTCATTCAATACATACTTATTATTATTTATTGTTATTTATGATTATAAAATATTTAAGTTAAATACAAATGAATATATATTATAAGTACAAAACAAAGAAATATAAATTTATACATAATAATATAATTTTAATTTTAGCAAGAAAATGTTTATGATTAATCATATTTAAAATTTTATAAACATTTCAGTTTTAAAATTGATATATTAAAAATCAATATGATGGATATTTCTAAAATTGTATGAAAGTTGAAAGATCATATATTTATTAGCTTTCAAAAAACAAATATAGTAATGAATCATGACATATTTAAAAATCAATATATTGGGTATTTCTAAAAATTGTATAAAAGTTGAAAAGACATACATTTTTTAGTTTTCAAAAAATATATAGTGAATTAGTGATGAATCTTATGACATATTACTAATTAAAATAATAGTTGATTAGTTTATAAATGACAGTAAACAAAATGTTAAAATATAGCTAAATAGTATCGAGTATAATAATTGAAAACAAATCTAAAATATAATTCTGTGTACTTTTAATTTTTATCTTATCATAAATATAATATAAAAAATTTTATAAGTAAATGTATAAATGCATTTGATAGTAATACATGCACTTATTTAAAATATAAAAGATTATTTTAAAATGATCAAAAATAGGTAGAAAAAGCACAATTGCAACATTGGATTTAATAAGATGGAAAAAAAAAATAGAATATGAAAATATTAGAACTGAGTGACAAAATTAGTCTCAAAAAGCTAAATTCCTAAAGAGAAAGCAAATATATAAAATATATATATTCTTTTATTTTTGCTTCTAAATACAATAGATATAAATTTGGAAAAGATAAACCACATTTAAAATTTCGCACTTGAGTTTCTAGAATTATAAAGAAAATGTTATGCATAAGAATTCATGTACTAAAAGAGAATATATATAATGAACGGTCATAGGATCTAAGTCAAATACAAAAGAAAGAAAAAACGTTTAATATATGTAGTATATTATAAACAGACGTGTAAATCTATACAATTATCACTATAACATTTCTATTATATTTATATAACCGTTTTTTTACCATTAGAATTACATATAGTTTTCAAATAGTATTGTAATAAAAAAAATATTTAAAATAATATAATTTACAAAACTATAAAAAAAAATTGAGTATATAATACTAAACCCACGCAACGCGTGGGTCCATTTCTAGTCTATATATATAATGAGAGAGTTTTCTCTCCTTTTAAGGTGTCCACATCATCATATTAAACATCCAATTAAATAAAACCATGTCATTAGTTAATATCTCCCATTTTTTTTACATTAATGTCTAATTATAATGTTCATTTAATTTATATTAATTTTAGTTATAATTAACAGAAATTTTAATTAAATCTATATATATAATGGGAGAGTTGTCTCTCCATCTAGGGTGTCCACATCATCATCCAAGTCATCATATTTTAATTTGGTGTGGGCTCCACATATTTTATTTACTAAAACAAACATTAAAACTAAAATTAATTCACACATTATATAAAAACAATAATTGACAAATATTAAATGAAATATTATGAGAAAACGAAAAAATAAAAATAAATATACAGTTTAAAATGTGAAAATTTTGAATCGAGATTGGATAAATATAAATTAGATAATTATATTTTAACATATAAGTAAATATTTAAAAATAGTTAGAGATAGGAAAAATAGAAACTTATCTATATTTTATTGGTACAAAAATTATTTTTAAGAGTTATAATTATTTAGTAGAGTAATGAAAATAAAAGTAAAAAAAAAATACCAAATTTAAAGGTTTTTACTTAAAATAAAAAAAAATTTATTTCTGAAAATAGACATTCAAAATGTGAGTACCGATTAAAAAATACGAAGGATTTAGGATATAATATTATTTATAATGATAATATAATATAAATAGTTAAATTAATAAATTTTTCTATATTAGTAATGTTTTCTAAATTAAAAAGTGGTGCTTTGTTTCTAAAAAATGAATACCTAACAAAGAAAAACTAAATATTAATCAGTGTTTAGGAAATTAACATAGATTGAAAAAACTAAGGTGATTTGAAAGAAAACAAAAAAACTATCCTAAACAACACAAATACAAATAAAATAATCTTATAGAATAATAAAAATGTGTAATAATAATATATGAGAATTCTATTTGGAAATTATAATAGTAATGGTAGATTGAAGAGTTTTTCATTAGAAATAAGAAGGATTTTGTTTATTTTAAAAATAAATATATTTTAAATTAGAATAATTTTTATGAGTTCGTAAGTGTTACATTTTAGAAAAGTCAACATTAAGAATACTATCTAGAATCATAATATACGTTAAGTTATATATGTAGAAAGAGAATTTTGTATTTTTCAAATGGCCAGATAAAGTGCAAAATTTTACGTTGAAATTCTATGTTTGTGAGTAAAAATGAGTTCATATATGAGATTTGTTGTCTATAAAACAATTTTAGATGCACCAAAACATGATCAAAAAATCTTATAACAAACATCTCCCCAGATTTCTTTTTCCGATGTTCACTTTAATAAAAAGATCATGACACTTATAAAGAAATTGAGTAGTGAAAGATATAAAGGAGAAAATAGATACGATCTAAGGAGAAAAGAGAGTATATGTCGGGAGACGACGAGTGAATCATAGAAGATAACGAGAAAAATTGTAGTGAAAAGTGTGAGAAATTTTTTACTACTTTGAAAAGATAATGCACATGAGTAAAATAGAATATTTTAAAATTTAATTGATTATATTTATATTTAAAGAATAAAAGTTTTATATTAAATCCCGCGCAACGCGCGGGTACACAATCTAGTAAATATAATGAGAGAGTTTTCTCTCCTTTTAAGGTGTCCACATCATCATATTAAACATCCAATTAAATAAAACCATGTCATTAGTTAATATCTCCCATTTTTTTTACATTAATTTCTAATTATAATGTTCATTTAATTTATATTAATTTTAGTTATAATTAACAGAAATTTTAATTAAATAAAAAAAAATAAAATAAAATAAATGAAATCTTAAAATATTAAAAGTAATACTATGAAAATTTATTACTAATAATAATATAATTCAACTTTCAACATAAACAAAATTAAAATGATCATATTTCTAATTTTTGAATGTGTTAAATGAGTTTTAGTATGGAAGTAAAATTTAAATGCATGGTAGAGTAAAATCAAAATTATGTAATTGTGTTTCTGTAATTTTAAAGTAAAACGTTAATTTGTAAGAGCAATATGCTACAAAAAAAATTTTCATTATTATTAAATATTCATGTAAAAAAAAACTAAATCCAACTTAAAATTTTAATTTAAGACTAAAACATTGAAAGAGTCACACTTTTTTGTGAAACTATAGAAAGATATCATAAAAATTCGAAAACGTTATAATCTATCTTCTAAAAAAAAACTAAATGGTTATATATTATTCATGAGTTTTATAATAAAATATATGTAAGTTGTTAACAAAAAAGGTGATATGTAAATTATGTACATATATCTCAAGTGGAACTACAACTATATATCATAATCAAATAGAAAAACACGTTTGAGAGTTTATCATTTAAATCAAATGTTTTCAACCCCAAAAATTGGTGGAAACAACATATTTAAAGTATATTACGTTTTTATTTGACAAGACGATGTTAAAGTTGCATCACAAGATTAACATCTCAAAATAACAAAAAGCGGTAAGCCAAATAGTGGTTTGAAATCACAAAAAATAGTAGGCTAGAGAGTGGTCTGAAATCACAATGACATTATTATGAATGAAGATAGAGTCACCTTATTTAAGTGTTGATTGTCTAAATGTTTTTTTTATAAAATATAATATTTTCATAGAAACTTTTAAGTGCATTAAAACTTTAGATTATGCAATCTTTAAAATTAAAAAGTAAAAAAAATATCAAATATACATTTTTCAAATGAAAGATAACATAGAGAATAGTCAATTTTAAAAAAATATTTAGAGTTATTTTCAACTGTTATGATTATAAAAACTGACCTCTATGAAAATATAATATATTACTAAACCTACGCGACGCGTGGGTCATTTTCTAGTGTATATACAACAAGAAATATAGAAAATTAGTTTTAAACATAAAGATCAAATTTGTAAGGATTAATGAATATTATTATTGCTGTCAAAAAAAAAATGAATATTATTATTATGAAAAAGAAAATTATTTATTTTATATACACTATAAATATTGATGTAAACAGAGAGAAGAATTCAGCAGCGGATGCTCTTTCTTGTCATGCTTCTTCTTCTTCAATGGCTATGTCTCAAACTTTTAACATTCCACCTGTTTGGTTAACCAAATACTTGTACTACCCGTATATTGTTTAATAAAGTTTGAAGATGTTTAAAAAAAAAAAGTATAATTTTTTTTTTTGTTAACTAGGTTGGGTTATGCAAATGTATAATTAAAAAAATTACCGATCACTGAATATTTTATTTTGCAAAATATTTTTTGCATATATATACAAAATGATAAAGTAGCAATTAAATTAGTTTTTAACATTTTTCCAAAAAAAAGTAAGTACATGGTTTTAGTTTTGGTGGATTCGGTTTAAAAGCAAATCAAATGGAATATATTGAACCAAAAGAATCAGTTATTGTATTTGGTTTTGGTTTAATTGAAGAATGGTTTTGTTCAATTGAAGAAACACTACTAAAACGGTCATAACTCGTAAACCTCGCTTAGAATTTAGTTGGTAAGATCGGTTTGGTTTAATTGGAGATCGGTTTGGTTTTCAAACGGTCATATAACGTAAGCCTTGGTTTGGACGTCAAACGTGTTTTAAATCCAAAAAAGGATCTTTGAGCTTTCAATTACGAAATAGATATTGTGACCGTTTGCTCTCTCCAAAACCCAGAAAATCACCGAGAGAAATTCTCAATTATAAGAACTCTCTACTCTGCCTTAAGAAGACCCAACGGTTTGATTTTGTTTTTAAAATTCAAACTAAGGCTCTCATGATTTTTGTGCTTCTCTCTAGAACGATCGATCTAGAAGATGATGACGATGAAGCAAAAGATGGAGGACGAGAAGGTTCTCGAAGGTGGAGCCAAATCTTGAAGTTTGTTTTCCAATTCAGGTTTGACATGAACTGTTGATTATCTCATATCGATTCTCAGTTTTTTCTTCTTCTTTCCGTGGTCTTAATTTTTTTTTTTTTGAGTTTCTCTGTTGAACGATCGATCTAGAAGATCTTCGGTGAACCAAAAGACGGAGGAGACAGAGGAACTCGAAACGCATTAAGGAATTGAAGCCAAATCTTCAAGGAATTTAAGCCTGACATGTCTGTAAGTTATTCGTAAACCTGAACCTTAGGATCTTTGTGACTCTTTTGTTATATCAGATTCTTTCTTTGTTAATATCTTTGTTTGATCGATCTCTTGTACGATCGTTTTGTTTTCCAATTCAAGCTTGACATGAACTGATTATTCTCATATTGATTCTCAATTTTTTTTCCTTCTTTCCGTGGTCTTAATATTGATTCTCAATTTCTGACTTTTAAGATGATTGTGATGATTGGTGATGATCCTGATTTGGGTTTTGTTTATCTTCAGATAGTTTCTCTGTTGGTGGAATCAGGAGTTGATCTCCGGAACTACCGTGGACAGGTATGTTGTGATTTAGTGTCCTTTTGTTCTTTGCATTATTGATTGATTTAAAAGTAATCTGAATACATGAATTTTTGGAAACAGACAGCTTTGATGCAAGCTTGTCAACATGGTCATTGGGAGTTTGTTTTGTTTCTGATTCTTTTAGGTGCTAATGTAAGGATTTGATCAAATTTATATTGTGATTTCTGACTGATTATGATTTAAAAATATGTCAGGGGTTGGGACAATGATTGTGTTTCTTGATTGTTCGGGTTTTAGATTCACAGATCAGATTACTTAAATGGCAGTACTGCTCTACACCTTGCGGCTCTAAATGGTCATCCTCTGTGTATCAGGATCTTGCTTTCGGAGTATATACCAAGTGTTCCTAATTGCTGGAGCCTATTGAAAAATAAGAAATATTCAGTTGCTGGATTTGATCCAAGGTAAAAAGCGTTTTGTTTTTTTTTGTAAAGAGTTAAGGTAATGCTTTATAGTCACTTGATGATTAGTTGAATGTGTTGTGTAGTGTTCTTCACGATGTGATCAACAGAGCAGCAGATGGAGGAATCACACCTCTTCATGTGGCGGCTTTGAACGGACACATAGAGACGGTGCAGTTACTCTTGGATTTGGGAGCTTCGGTTACTCAGGTCAAGTGACTATAGTTCTAGCTCTGGTTCTCAACTAATTTTGCTGTTCATGTTCTTTGAAAATGATTCAAGATTATTTTTAGATAGTCATATGTGTTATGAAGCTTGTTGATGGTTTGGCTTTTTTCTCAAGCATAGGGTAACAGTGACACTGACACTGACACGCTTGATGCTGAAACAAGAAGAATGGGACGAGCTATATGCTAAAATCATCACAACTCTCACTAGATCGTCCTAGTTTTTATTTCAAGCTGCAGGACTCCAAGAATTTGACCACAAAAGGTATGTTTTCTTGCAGGACTATAGCTTCTCTGATGAGTTCTTGAAGGTCTTGTGTTAGACTAGTACACTCTCACATTTTTTGGTTTGCAGTTTTTTTGCAGACTACACTCAAAAAGCTTCTCAAATAAAATAATTATCTAACAAGACGCAAGCTATTAAGGTATGATGACTTGTACAAGAGTCTGGAAATGTGTTAAGGTTGAGATCTCGTTTCTAAGAACACGGGATCCATCTCTTGAGTGTAAGTACCTTCCCCTGAATATCCACAAATTTCTATATTGCATTTTGTATTTCCTTTGACGAGAAACAAGTTTAGCAGAGACATCAACTAATTCTGAATGATCTGTTTATTTTCTGCAGTATACTCATATGGAATTGACGAACACCTTAAAATCAGCTTCTTTGAACTTGGAGAAACAAGAATCACGTTCAAGCTCAGAAAAAATGAGTAATTTCGTCACCATTAGAGAAGAAAACCGAACTTGGTATTTAATGGAAGAATCTTATTGAAGATTAAGACTATCTCTTGGTTGTTGTACAGAAGAACCGCTGGAGGAAAGCCATGGAATTTCTAGAAGATAAGCAAAATAAAAAAGCAGCAATGAGTGGTACTTAGAGATGGAAGCTGAACAGGACAACCAGAAGTAAAACTGAACTACATCCCACTAGTTCACTCTAAAACCTTTTCGATTGTAATTATAATTAAGAATCATAACTCCATTCTCTTGTTTGTAGGAAGCTAAAGGATCCGTAAGCCTAAGCAGCCAAATCTTCCTACCTAACCTATTTAAAAGAGTGGAAAGCACCTTTACGATAAAGAGGAAAAACTTGAGGCAACAAGCAAAACTGAACTACAAACCATTGTCTCCCTCGAGAACTTTTTGTGATTGCAATAATAAGTGCGAAAACTGACTGCATTGTCGTTTTATAGGAAGCTAAAGGATCCTCTAAGCCCAAACAACCCATATGTTCCCCAATAATGAGGAGAGCTGCTTTACGTGAAAGAGAAAAAACTGGAGCGCTTAAGGTGGAGCACAAAAAACTGCAAAAGCTGAAGTAATTCAAGCCTAACAAGGTATAATTACTTGAAAGATCAATACTTCATAAGATCAGAGATTCTAAAGTTCTGACTTTTAAGATGATTGGTGATGATCCTGATTTGGGTTTTGTTTATCTTCAGATAGTTTCTCTGTTGGTGGAATCAGGAGTTGATATTAATCTCCGGAACTACCGTAGACAGGTATGTTGTCATTTAGTGACTTTTTGTTCTTTGCATTATTGTTTGATTTAAAAGTACAATCTGAATACATGAATTTTTGGAAAGAGACAGCTTTGATGCAAGCTTGTCAACATGGTCATTGGGAGGTTGTTCTGTTTCTGATTCTTTTTCGTGCTAATGTTAGGATTTTGATCAACTTTATATTTTGATATCGAACTGATTGTGATTTAAAAATATGTCAGGGGTTCGGACAATGATTGTGTTTCTTGATTGTTCGGGTTTTAGATTCACAGATCAGATTACTTAAATGGCAGTACTGTTCTACACTTTTGAAAATTTATCTTCTTGGCAAATGCTGCAGCTTTTGTAATTGGTGCTACGTCTGTACCTGTCCCTGATTTTAATTGCTACGCTCTTGACAATTCAAGTCGTCTTGTCGATTTTGTATCCTCTTTCTATTATTGTTGTTGCTTTAAGATTCTGCTTAGGATCAATTATTGGTATGAGAATAGTAAGAAAGTTTGCTTTGTTGCACTGGTTTGATTTAGTGGCTTGTAAAGCTGCTTCCTTTAACTTGGTTTGGTCAGAGCAGCTGGATCGGCCATCCTTTTGAATATGATGGCAAGGTTGTGTTTATGTTCTCATTCTATAATGTTGAGAGGTTGTATTAAGGACTTTAGGTTTGATTAGGTTTGGTCTTTATTGGTCTAGGAATTTGATTTGGTGGTTAGATTCTGCAAGGATGTGGAAACAAGAGGGCAGACGGTGAATTTCTATATCATCAAATTCAAAAGCTTTGTTCAACTTTAGTTTCCAAAAATATGTGTGTTTGTTGTATGCAGGGATATGTTGATATCGGACGGTTTGACCCGTTAAGCTACTTTGTTTCTAGTTCTGGAAATTTCGATTTCGTTCAAGTGAGAGCCTTCTCTTCTTTGCTCTCCTGTTTTGGATTAGGCATCATAGTTAGTTTCGGAACATCATAACCAATTCTTGCATTGCCTAGACCAGTATTATCCTCGGAACATGGATTCATCTGTTAGTATATACATATAGGGGTTTTACCATGGCGACCTGTCAAATTGTGAACAGAGTTATGACAAACTTGGACGTACATCACAGGTTAGATATCATCTACGCAAGAGTTTTACTTTTGGAGATTTTTCGTGGTTCTTGTTTTTTGAGTAGGGTTTCTATGTTTTGTACAGGTCAATATTATTTGTGGGAACTTTAGGGATGGACGGTGTAAAGCTGTGTTTGCTTCTGGTTCTTTTTTGTTTGTTTTGTTTCATCAAAATCGGAAATGCTTCTCAATTCTTGGAAAGCTATTAATTTTCATTCTTTCTTTTTCCTATCTCAGGTGGACTTGGATGCATATGTAGTGTCACCCAAGATTCAACTTGCAGGTCTGTCTGCTACTATTTGTCTCTTGGTATAGTCGATTTTTCTTACAACAAATTCTTGCTCTTTCCCATTGGTCCAGAGTTACTGACGACTTGGCTATTCCATGTGAGAAACCTGGCCCGCTGGTGTTCAAGGAATTCAAGGTAAAACGTGTTTTTTTTTTGTAAAGAGTTATGGTAAAGCTTTATAGTCACTTGATGATTAGTTTGAATGTGTTGTGTAGTGTTCTTCACGAAGTGATCAACAGAGCAGCAGATGGATTAATCACACCTCTTCATGTGGCGGCTTTGAACGGACACATAGAGACGGTGCAGTTACTCTTGGATTTGGGAGCTTCGGTTACTCAGGTCAAGTGACTATAGTTCTTGCTCTGGTTCTCCACTAATTTTGCTGTTCATGTTCTTTGAAAATGATTCAAGATTATTTTTAGATAGTCATATGTGTTATGAAGCTTGTTGATGGTTGGCTTTTTTCTCAAGCATAGGGTAACGGTGACACTGACACTGACACGCTTGATGCTGAAACAAGAAGAATGGGACGAGCTATATGCTAAAATCATCACAACTCTCACTAGATCGTCCTAGTTTTTATTTCAAGCTACAGGACTCCAAGAATTTGACCACAAAAGGTATGTTTTCTTGCAGGACTGTAGCTTCGACGTAAACATGTTCGGTATTGACTAGTTGATAAATGTGAAGGATAAAAGAGAGCCTCCTCGAACCTGGCCGTATGTGCCTGGGTATGTGTTATCACATCAGTGACAACAATGTTTCTAATTGGCACTCAATTCTTTATTTTGTCTATCCACATGTTGATTTAGTGATGTGTTCGCCAGCTGCATCGGGGTCAGGATCTGTTAACGCATTTGATGCACAACTCTTGCATAACTCTTTTTGTATGTACATTTTTGTGTATTTTAAACGTAGCTTTTGTTTTCATTACTTATTTGGTGTATCTTTTCAGGATAATTTGGAAAAGTGGCTTACTGATGAAAAAGCCAGCGATTAGCTAGTCATTCGTTCTGACCGTCATACTAGATTCTCTGTTGATCGTCTGTATTATTGGGTTGCTGCTTAGTTGGTGTTTGGCCCTTGTTGCATGTCTGCCATTGCTCAGGTTTGTTTCGTTTCTTCAGTTTACCCAAAGAAAGCCTTATGTTACTGTAAAGAATACGGCTTGAAATTGTTTTCCTATGTTCTTTTTTTTTTTAATTAATTCTGGTTTAAGTAGCCACATGCTTTCCAATTCAATTTTTGTGAAAGATTTCCAATTCAATTAGCGATATAGGTTGTTAATCTTTCTATCTAAGTCATTTATGTCATCTCATCCTCATGCACTTAGCTTTGATGTATTCGTGTGTTTTGCAAAAGCTGGTATTTTGTAACCCTTTAAAAAATAAATATCCAGATATTTTGGCTTGATGGATTCTCAAAGGGCATCCAGTAGATGCATCTAAAGTTTTTTTTGGTACTCAATGATATTGTCAGAACATAATACAAACATGATAAATTAGGCTATATTCTCTGATGAACTTCTTTTGTAGATGTAAATACACTGGTTGCTTGATTCGCCAGCATACAAAAAGTAGCATGCATCCTTCCAAGGTTGTGGACAATCAAAACAAGGAGATGACGAATGAGTTTTTTACTTTAAGAGTGCAACGCATGTCATATATTGACCGAAAACACATGTTACATTTAAGCAGGTAGACCTTGGAGCTTGTAATTTATATATGAGCTTATCTGAGTCTCACTTGAACTAGAGTCGAAATGAACCTTGCAATGATGATGGAGGCGTCACATTTGATTATTCATTTCCAGATATTCCAAAGATATTTGTACAAGGTGGATGAGGTAAGACTAAGGATGTTTGGTTAGATTCTAAAGATTACAATCATGCACATTCATATGTCTTTCTGAATTGTGGCTATCTACAACGTTTTGAAAGGTACGCTATCTCTCTAAATTGATTAAATAATTGTGTAATGAATCATGTCCTACGTATTCTTAGTTGACGTTGAGTACGTCTTTAGAATTCTCTTTTTAAAGCTTTTTAATACTCATTTTTTATACTTGCTTTTATAGGTTGTTTGAGGAGGACATGAAAAAGACATATTCATTTATTAATGCGCCTCAACTACATGAGTTAAAACAATTGCATTTTACATCATGGTTACAGAAGCATGTAAGTATTAAATTAATATATGTTTAATTATGAAAGTAAAATATGTTGCTTCTTATTACGTCTAAGTTTAATTATTCATCTTCTTTTCAGATTCAACTCGACACAAACCGTAGTGTTTATCCAATATGGTTACATGAATTGGTACAGGGTCCGGCAACTAAAGTAACAACTTGGCCGATGTTTTTCAGTCGAGGGTACAACTTTCACACGTTTGAACACGGAGAAGATCGAAAAACATCAACTATGGTGTTTGTGTGAAAGGAGCATTTTCCAGTGATTCTAATGAAGAACCTGAGTTTTACGGAATCGTAACACAAATATTAGAGCTCTATTATCCGGAAATTGTTGGTCTCCGAGTTGTTCTCTTTAGATGTAATTGGTATGACTCAACAATGGGTAAAGGTATACGGAGAAACAAATCGGGGATTATCGATGTTAGTTGCGCTAATCGATACGGAAAATACGATCCTTTCATTCTTGCTAGCCAAGCAGATCAGGTATGTTTTGTATCATATCCTCGTCTTAGTAAAAAGAAGGGTGATTGGTATGCTGCAATAAGGATACAACCAAGAGGAAAGATTATATCCATTGAAGAGGTGAATTTGAGTCCTTTGCAATATGAAAATGATTATACGTTAGTTGAGGCTGATCCATTTATAATAGTTGATGATTTAGCTGATCAGCTAGGCCAATTTGTTACCCTCAAAATGTTGTTGATGAAGAATTAGATTCAGATGCAGGTGATAAATCCACTGATTCTGACACAACTGAAGACGATTCAGACTGATATACTCTAGTTTTTGAAAGTTATATTGATATATACTCTTTTTTTTTTTTTCTCATAAGTGTTTGTCTTTCATTTCAAACAAGAGTTGTAAGAGTACAACAGTGGAAGCTTCCACTTACAATTGAGACAACCACTTGAGCTAACAACATGGATCATCAAAAACATAGTAAAATCCATGTTGCAAAAACAAAAACCTAACATTAGTTTAAAGCTTAAAAGTGAAACCAGTAACATCATGCTTCGGGACTTCCATAACCAAAAAGTGTTCCAAGGATCATGCCCGAACTATTATTCAAACCTTGAGCTGCTAACTGAAGCCACCGCAGCCAACATCCAAAAAGTCTGACAGAATTATGTTGAGTGCTTAACGTTTCTTGGGAGGTTTCAGAATCCCTCCCATCATTTGCTCATGTATTCTTTGTTTCTGATGTCTTGCTTCTTCTTCACGCTGCATTGCTATTAGATTCTTGCGTTTTGAAGACTCCCCTGTATCGAAGTTGTTATTAGGGAGCTCAGCTGATCCTCTCCTTGAAGACTCACCAACTTCGAAAACACGAGGAGCTCTTGAAGTAATCGCATCTCCAGCAGAAGGGGAGATGTTTGAGTTTGAAAACACCTGTTGTCTTCTAGAAGATCCCTGGGAGATAGTAGCTGGACTATGCTGAATAGAAGAACCTCGAGAGATAGAGAAATATGGACTTGCAGCTGCTTGTTCTTCAGGATTCAGAGGTGGTGCTGGAACTCTTGGAGGTGGAGTCAAAGGAGTAGGAAAAGAGTTATCAGTCATCTGAGACTGAGAATTCAGACCAGATCTGAAAAGCTCATCATGGAAGACAGCTCTTTCCCTTCCATTGATGTACCTTTGACGATAAGGACAGTAGTTCCTTTGATGAGTAAACCTAAAACAGCTACTACAGATTCTTCTTAACCTTTCATACTGAAAACGGATTAAAGCAGTTTCACCAGAATCAAAAGTAATTCTTTGAAAAAACCTTAACCTGTCAGTTATACCAAAGCGAATTCTAACTCTGATATAAGCAATTTGAGTTGTAGTAGCATCATGATAATCCAGGGTAATGATCTCACCAAGCTCTTGAGCAATTTCACCAGGGTTCCCTTCTTTGCACAGTTAACAGATCAACTTCAGTTTGGAAAAGAAACTAAACAAAGGTAGCATCGAGTATTCTCCCGTGAACATGAGTTGTCAGTCCCCAAGTTCTTGGTAAAGCTGCAATAACAGAGTTAAGATTTTGAACTCGAGGATTAAGAGGCCTAGCGATTAAGCTAAGACGATTTCTTGCTTCAACAGATGCGTAAGCTTCTTGTGGAATAAACAACTCTGGCTCCTCCCTTCCTAGAGTCATATGTTGCAGCTCATCCCAAAGCTCATCTGCCATTATGTGAAAGTGAAGAGAAAGAAAAGAGATTGGGATAAAAAACCTAGAAGAAGAAAAAAGGATATTTATAGAAGAGAAGGAAGAGAAGACTCGATAAAGACAGAAACTTAATCTCATAGGAAAAAGAAAAATTGAAAAGAGGAAATTCGAAAAAAGAGGAGATGAAGTAAAAAAATAATAACCAGAAGACAACAAAAGAAGAGCAAAGACAAAATACAACAAAGAGAACTTTGGACTTAAGAAAGCAAATCGAGCCTGAAAAGAGAAAAAGACAAACTAAAAACCTAATCCCAATCTTTTAACCTGCTAACCTCTTTCAGCATCAAAAAGTGATTTCAACCAATGAGGATAACCTCTAGCCACGTAGGATTGAAGCCTATTCCCTGTGATTACACTTGTAGCAATTTCCATAGCTGCTCTGTTACACTCATACGATTCCATGAGAAGAAACCAATTGGGTTTTGGCTTAGTGAAAGTCAACAGCTCAAAGATTTGACCAGATATAATAGGCCAATCTTTTGGCCTATGCAAAGCCTTGATAATTTCATAGGATGAAGAAGCAAATGTGACTTTGTCAAGGTGATGATGATCCATGCATACTAAAGCCCACTCCCAACTTCTCATTTTAGCATCATATAAGGAATATACCTGAGTGAAAGATCTTCTACTATGAAGTAAGACTGATCCCACTGAGTCACGAACCACCCAAGAAGCTCCTGAAAAATTATTAGACTTAGACCAAGCAAATCCAATGTTGCATTTTAGTTCTCCAGGGTATGGTGGTTTCCATAGGTTGAAGCTTCTGACTTTAGTCTTCTTTTCTAAGTTCTTCTGAGCCATACACCATTCGTGACAGTCCTCAAAAGCTTTCTCCACAATAGAACTTGTAACCGATCATGTTCCTTCAAAAAGAAGCTTGTTTCTGTTTTTCCACAAAATCCATAGAATCCAAGGACCCACATTTTTCAAAGAGCTAGAGGAGATATGATTCTGAGTGAAATCGAACAAATGATTCAAGTTTGCAAAGATAGATCCTCCAAAACCATTCCCTGAAACAGGAACACTAGACAAAGCCCAAACTTGACGTGCTAATTGGCATTGAAACAGAATATGATTAATCGTTTCTTGATCTTCATCACACATTAGGCAGCCATCATCATTGTGAATACCTCTAGTTCTAAGCCTATCTTCCACGGCAATAGCTCCATTTAAGATCTTCCAAAGAAAAATTTTAATTTTTGGAGCAGTATGCAATTCCCAAATCTTGACAAATAGAGGATTAACAGAAGGAGCAACTTCAGATTCCTGAAAAAGCTTCTGATGAATCTTCCTGCTTATGAACTCATAGCCCGACTTGACAAAATAAAGACCATCAATGGAATAAGACCAGCATACAGAGTCTTCTCTAGAAATCACTGGTCTATGATTAAGGATAATCCTGATATCCTTCCAAGGAAACAGATCCCTTAAAAGGTTAAGGTTCCAATTTCTAGAAAACGGATCTATCAAATGACTGACCTTTAACATGATGTCAATTAACCTCTGTTTGTTCATTGGTCTCCTATTTTTCCCCTCATGAAGCCAATTATCTATCCAGACATAAGTGTGATTCCCATTACCAATGACTGTTCTTAAACCTGCTTGTAGCAACTCTCTACCAAATAAAATGCTTCTCCAAGCATAGGAAGGTCTAGAACCTTTGGTAGCCTTAAGAAAATCACAATTAAGGAAATACCTGCTCTTGAAAACCTTGAAGAAGAGACTCTCTTTCTCATGTACCAAACGCCAAGCCTGCTTTGCTAACAAGGCTTGATTGAAGCATTGAAGGTCTTTAAAGCCAATTCCTCCCTGTACCTTAGGTAGAGTTAATCTTTGCCAACCAATCCAGTGGATTTTCCTAGTATTTTGCACATTGTTCCACCAGAAATCCATCATAACAGCAGTTAATTTTTTACAGAGAAGTACCGGCAGTTTGAAACACGTCATTGCATAGACAGGTAGAGCCAAAGCAATAGATTTTAGTAAAATCTCCTTGCCTCCTTGAGATAATGTCTTAGCATACCAACCTGTCAATTTTGACTGAAGCCTTTCTTTAATAAAACCAAACAATTCTTTTTTTGAACCACTTAAGCACTCAGGTAGGCCTAAATACTTCCCAGTACCACCTTCCAACTGGATTCCAGATTTATCTTTAATCCATTTCTTGATTCCTTCATCTATCCTTTTCCCAAATTTTATTGCAGATTTATCCAGGTTGATTAATTGACCTGAAACATGACCATAGTTAGACAAACATTTCAACATTTCCTCACATTCTTTTTTTGTAGCTTTACATAAGAGGAGAGTATCATCAGCAAATAACAAGTGGTTTACTGAGATTCCATCAGGTTGAAACTGAAAACCAGTAATTTTACCCTCTCTTTCCGCCTGATTAAGGATATGAATTAATGCTTCAGTACATAGAAAAAACAAAGACGGTGATAGGGGATCACCTTGTCTTAATCCTCTTGCTGGAGTAATGTGACCATAAGGCTGACCATTAATCAAAACAGAATAAGAAACAGATGAGACACAAGCCATTATCCAAGAAATCCATTGCCTATTGAAACCCAGAGCAGACATAATACCTTCCAAAAAGGACCATTCTACTCTATCATAAGCTTTAGACATATCTGTCTTAAAAGCCATAAATTCCTTGAAAATTTTCTCATTGGTTCTTAAACTATGAACAATCTCGTGAGCAACAAGAATATTGTCAGAGATTAGTCTTTCAGGAACAAAAGCCGATTGAGTTTAAGAAACTATACCCGGAAGATGTTTTTTCAGTCTAGCAGTCAAAATCTTGGCTATAATCTTGTATAACACAGAGCACAGGCTAATTGGCCTAAGATCTGACATTCTCTGGGGATTAGTGATTTTGGGAATAAGGCAAATGAGAGTATGATTCCATTCCTGAGGTAAAACTCCATTCTGAAAAAAACCAAAGATTTCCTGAAGAATCTGGGATTTCACTATGGCCCAGTTTTGTTGAAAGAACAAAGCTGTAAAACCATCTGGACCAGGAGCACTTTCACTATTAATCGATAGAACTTCTTGATGTACTTCCTCCTCAGTGACCTCTTTGATTAGATCCTGATTCATGACTGTTGAGACTTTGGCTTGAAATCCTGCCAAATAATCATTCAAATCCAACGGACAAGAGGACTCAAAAAGCTTTTCAAAGTAGGAAGCTGCCACTTTTCCTTTATCACTATTCCTAGTATACTCAATCCCCTGCTCATCCAAAAGAAAACTCAAAGCATTCCCAGCTCTATTAGCTTTCACAGCAGCATGAAAAAAACATGTGTTTCTATCCCCTCCAGCTAACCATTTTTGTCTACTTTTCTGTCTCCAAAAGGTTTCTTCTTCCCCATAGGCAATTGCTAATTGATCTTTAATAAAAGTAATTCTAGTCCAGCAAGGATTAAAATTACTCTTCTGATCATCAAGTTCTTTTCTTAATCTTAAAATTCTTCTTTGAGCATTACTATCAGATGATTGTTTCCACACACTGATAGCTCTTCTACATTCTATAAGACTAAAGAGGGAAGATTGAGTACCTTGAGAGAGCTCACTGCACCAAGATCTGGATATAGTTTCATTACATGCAGGATTATCAGCCATTCTTTTGTCAAATCGAAATTGACCACGAAACAGCTCATGATCATTGATGAACTTGACCAGTACAGGACGATGATCAGAACCAAAACTTTCCAAGAACCATTGGTGCGAGTTTGGAAATAGAGAAAACCAAGCAGAGTTCCCAAAACATCTGTCTAACTTGCATTGAATCCATTGATCATTTCTATTTCCTCCCCAAGTAAATCCATTACCTGAACCACCCAATTCATGCATATCACAATTAAGCAACATATCTTGAAAAGGTTGAAAAGATGATATTAAGCGTCTTGGACCACCTAATTTTTCACTGTTGGATCGAATATCATTGAAGTCTCCTATCATACACCAAGCCTTTGCATACCAATACTAATTAATCTATCCCATAAGGCAGGTCTATGTTGTGTCATTCGATGACCATAAATGCAAGAGAGAAACCAAACCTTATTCCTTTGAGAAATCTGAAGGTCTAAAAGATTTTTGTCTTCAAAAAGGAATTCAATTTCCAAGTGACCTTTCCAAAAGATTGCCAGACCCCCACTTCTTCCTTCAGGATCTATAGTATGCATATGATCATAACCAAGCCATCTGAAATTTTTTGATACAAACTCTGTTGAATTCATGGTTTCCATGAGGAATAAAATGTCAGGGAAATGATCTTTTTTCATTTCCTTAAGGTACCGAATTGTCCAGGGATTCCTCAACCCTTGACAATTCCAACTTAGGACGCCCTACTGATCCAACGGCGGTTCACCATGAACCACCGTAGTATTATCTCGCTTGAAACACTTAGAATCAGAAGGGATAGAAGACTGAGCCTTTCTTTTAAAAACTCTATCAAATTGATCCATAGATTTCTCCTGACTAACCTTAGTCTTCAAAGGAGGCTCCTTGCCTGGTTTAGCTTTTCTTAGCCAAGATAAGTTAGGTTTCTTCATTTTGTAAGTCTTAAAGCCTGAACCTGATGAACTAGCTTCACATCCACCTGAACTGAAACCAGTTAATATATCCAAATCTGGCAAATCATCTGAAAGATCATTCTTTTGATTTTTCGAAGCAACCAACATACTTGATTTTTCCAATCCTTTCCTAGCATCAGCCATAAAACTAGCACCAGAAGGATTGGAGATAACCGAATCAAGTTCCTTCACTAATCCTTCCTTCTGCTTCCTTTTGTCTTGTAGTTTCCTATCAGAAGTTACAGCAGAAATATCTATCTTGAAAGGACATCTGTTTTTGTCATGTGTTAAGCGTTGACACTGAAAACATCTCTTCCTAATCCTTTCATAGTCGAAAGTGATGAGAACCACTTCCCCTGTTGGTAGTTGAACCTCTTTTGAATTGCGTACCGGCTTTGAGACATGAAATAGAACACGAACTCGAACATAGTCTTGAACTCTAGATTTTTCAGGATCAAAAACGACTTCCAAAACCTGACCAACACACTCTGCAATTTCTGAAATCGTTTCTTTGGTGAAATAATTCACTGGAATATTTCTCAGACGAATCCAAATGGGAAGGAACCACAGATAATCATCTGGTGGTTTTTCAATCCATTTTTCCATAACAACACACCAGTCATCCTGAGTCCAGACACCAACTTTCAGGATTTCTTCTAAATCATCATCTGTCTTGAAGAAAAATTGGAAACGGTCTAAGGAGAGCGCCACACCTCGAACTCTATTATTAAGTCTCCAGATTCTGGGCATATCTAATATCCAATTCGACATCCTTTGATTCTCTGGATTCAAGAAACGACCCAACAGACTACAGCAATTTCTTTCATTTGAACAAAACTGGGGTTGATTAGAGAGGATGAGAGGTTTGTCATCAGCATCGGCAATAGACATCTTCTGAATAGCTTTATCCAGATCCATACTCATTTGTAGACACACCACAACAGCTCGCAAATAACACCAGAATACTTCAGCAGATTTGGATTGAGAGAAATCGATAAACAGGAAACCCAAAAGCACTAAACTTGCAAAAGAAAATTTTGAACTGCGCCGACAGAAAACGAGAAGATCTTCGGACAAAGGCTCTGCTCAATAGAAGAAATCTTTTAGTGAGAGAGATGTTCTTAAGCCCAAGTGAAATCGGGACGGCAACTATAACGATTTGAACTTCAACGATCTGAGAAAACGAATTGAGCTACTAAGAGAGAGAAGAGAGAGTTTTTTTTTTTCACGCTGAATCAGCTCCTTTTTTCACACTTATTGATATATACTCTTTAAAAGTTATTCGTCAAAAAAGAATTTTTTAAATTTTGCTAATTTCTTATGGATATTTTATTTTAATTTGTTTTCGGAATATCTATGTCTGATTTTGGTTTGTTTAGTTTACCCTAATTGAATGACTCGTTGAACTATCAAAGAATCCAAGAATTTGCGACTAATGTACATTAGCGTATATCAATCTTCATGAAAGTCAAGTAGTCAACTGTTTAAAAAGTCAAATAATGCACACTAGTCTTCACGACTTTTGACGTAGAGATAGTGGATTTAAGAAGAAATTGACCAATTGACAAATTTTAGTATTTTTTGAATTGGTTTCGATAATACAAAGTGAATTTGAGAATACTACAACTAATTGCAATGAAAAAATAGTGATGTTATTAGTCTGCTGTTGTTAAATCTCGTATAGCTAATTGCTTATTGAAATTAGCCAAACTGATTTTTATCACTGTGGTAAAGCAGACTATTACATGACACCAAGGAGATAGTCAACAAGAGACGACCCATAGAATATTGAAGGCAAAGAGAGGGAGAGATATCGACTCGAGAGATGAGTCTTCATGTGAAGGAGCCAATGAAACTATTGGTTCAAGTGAAATAGCTCTTAATTGCATATGATTCATGATGTGCGGTGGTTTTTCACTTCAAAACTTTTACCTTAAAAGACCACACGACTACTGCATGTGCACAGTTAATCGGTTGTAGTATTTAAAAGATCGAATCCCACAGAGAGAGAAGTAGTTCGGACAAGTCGTTAGAACGAGTAAAGCCAGGACAAAACAATAAAAAGGGGTTGGTTGTGGTGTCACGGTTTGCAAGTAAAAGTAAATAAGAAAGCAAGTAAAGAAAGCAAAGTAAATAAACGCAAGAAAACTATAAGAGACAAACGTTGGGCATCAAGGGCATCGAAGGGGGTTCAATGATCGTTACCTAAATAATACTAGAATTAGGTTTGTTTACTTCCAAGTCTCGGACATACGAAACACTAAGATTCGGCTAACCCTATGTTATAGAATTAGTCGGGTAAAATCCTTATACTCCGTTACTAAACCTACGCAGGCAACGATGCATATATCAAAGCAATAAGATCAAGTTCGATTCTAGTCCATAAAGCCCTATAACTAAGTGGTGTGTGCTTGTTATAACACGATACACATTCGTAAGCTAGGTCTAGCGTATTAAACAACCTTGTGAGCAATTTAAACACTTGGGATCACGAGTTAGGACATGAATCTAACTACATGCATTAAGAAACAACTTACTTAGAAAGAATACAGTGTAAACGATCAAACAAAACCCTAAGTATCGCCACTTAAACGATCGATCATGTTCCCCCCTTTGATTAACCCTTTAAACCCAACTAGAAAACTACTCTAGCATGGTTAAAGAGATCATCAAAGTAAGGTTTCATAAACTCATAAGAAAAAATGAATAAGAATTGAATAGGGTTTAGAGATTACTTCTTTGAATGTTGAATACAAGAGGTAAGACTTCACATTAATAGATCTTAGAGTAAACAAGAGAAAAGAGAGAGATTTGGTGGACTTCAAAGCTTAGAACAAGGTAGACGACGTCGGCTGTGCCTCTAGGGTTCTTCGTTGGCTTCTTGGTGAGTGCACACCTAGGTTTAGGGCTTCCAACATGTATTTATAGGTTTCGGAGACCAAAGATTAGGTTTAGGGGTAAAAGCGTCTTTTCACGTGGATTAGGTTAAGTGAAACTCGCGTTTCTGGACAGGGTTGAAGCTTTAGTGACCGGGGTGGAGAGCAGGAGGCAGCCCGGGCTCGGACCTTGTGACCGGTGCGGCCTAGAAGCTCCGGAACGGTTGCATAGCTTCTGGCCGGTCTGGACATGTCTTCACTCATCTGGTCGTAACTTCCGAACGGCTCGATGAAAAGCTCTGATTCTACTTCCAGACGAATCCTGAATCTTCTAGCTTTCCATAGACACCAAGATCTCTTGATTTGGTAATCGGAAACACCTCGAACGGACGCCATACTTCCGACATACAGAAATTGTCTTGAAACGCGTTTTGATCGCCTTTTGGTCTTTAAAGCTCAAAAACTCTTAAAACCTTCTTGACTCCATAAATACTTGAATAACACCTTCTTGGCTCTGAAATCACTCAAAATGCTCCCTAAAACATAAGAAAACAATAGCAAATATGGGCGAAAATCATATGTTATCAATTCAAATCACCATATATATATGGGGCAATCGTGATGCATTGGTACTTCATATTAATTATATATGCGAAAGCTATCCATACGTTGACATACAGTCAAAAAGCCAAAAGAGTACTTCCATTGTTTTTTGGTTTATTGAGTAATAGAAGAAAAAGATAAATATCCCAACACAAAATTAAGAGAAATAAATAAAAACTAAAAAAGCTTGGGTTGTTATAAATCATATGGATGGACTCCATAACCGGCCCAAGGCCCGTTAGATTTTATCTCCTTCATGTGTTTCCGTGTAAACTCATATATATACTCTCTTATGTGTTAATAAGATTACACAGTTCATAACACGTTATCAGCACGAGTTTGCTCTAGAGAAATAAAACCACCTTCAAAAAGCCCTAACCCTAAAAATCGCTAAAACCCTAAAAACCGCACATCATCAGATCCGACCGCGGTACTGTTCATCGTCGACACTGTTCATCGTGATACTGTTCATTGTGGTACTGTTCATCGCGGTACTGTTTGCGGTTCGTTGAATGCTCTTTAAAGCATGGAATCGAATTGAGGTCTAGGGATTGATTGATAGAAACCCTAATCGCGATCCTATATCGTGAAAGCCAAACCGCAAGTTGCAGTTTAATTCTAAACCTAACCGAACTTATGTTCGGTCTAAACCCTAGGTTAAACCGAAAGTAAACCGAAACCCCAAATCCTAGGTTAAACCGGTTTAGTAAACCCTAAGTCACGGTTTAAGATCAAGTTTCCCATAAATAGAAAGTTCCATATAAGGAAAGTTTCCAGAAATAGAAAGTTTCGTAAAATAGCAAGTTTCCCAAAATAAAAGGTTCCCTAAAATAGCAAGTTTCCCAAAATGGAAAGTACCAAAATAGGAAACTCCTTCATAAGAAAATATTCCAAAACCCTAAAGTACACGTTTGTTTAGGATTTCTTTCTAGATGAGAAATAGAAAGTTTCCATAAATGGAAAGTTCCATATAAGGAAAGTTTTCATAAATAGAAAGTTCCATACATAAAACCGAAACCCTAGCAAAAACCCTAGTACTATAATCGCGGATGTTAAAACCCTAAAACTTAACCGCGAAATCCTAATATCCTAATCTAGTATGATCCGATTGTTTGGTTGTTTTTTTGTTGCATACTAGATCAATCTTCTAGGGTTGATTTCATCCATATATATATATAACATGATTGTTTAGAAAACACTTGCTGAAGACAAGCATGGTTCAGTCTTAAATACCGCATGACTTGGTCTAGCCCTGGGCATAAAAACCGAACCCGAAAAACCGAACCGAACCGAAAATATCCGAAATTTTCGGTTTTGGGTATTGCTAAATAACCGAATGGTTCTCATCTCAACTATCCATGGATATCGGTTATTAACCGAACCGAACCGATATCCATGGATATCCATTTTAAACCATACACATTTGACTAAAGAGGCCTACACCTAAACCCATTAAACCCAAACCCATTTTCTTTATCCCCTTAACTCATTAAGCCCAAATCCTTTTTGCATTATACCCTTTTTGAAGTTTGAACTTTGTTATTTTGTTGCGGATTTGGATTTTGGAACTCTAGAATATTGTTAGTTTGTTATGGATCTCTCTAGACTGTGCTTTGTAGACTCCTTTTTTAGATTTGCAACTTGAATTATTGCATTTTGAAGTTTTTGGTTCATATTTGCATTCATTATTAGTATGACAATATGTTTTTATTCGGGTAATGGTTCGGTTCTTTGGATAGTTCGGTTATTTGGTGGGTAAATATCCGAACCGAACCAAACCGAACCATACCCGAAGGTATTTCGGTTATCTTATGGTTCTCTTCTCAAGTATCCAAACCGAACCGAACCGAAAGCTAACCGAACCGAACCGAACCGAAAACAGTTCGGTTCCCTTATGGATCTCAAATGCCTAGAACCGAATAACCGAATAACCGAACCGAACCGAACCGAACAACCGAATACACAACATGAGTTCGGTTACATGAGTTCTCATTTAACACTATATATTGTAGATGTCAGAAATCAACTATTATGAATACACGACACTCAATGCCTCTGGTGACAATTATTTACAATGGACTTTGGACACTGAGATTGTCCTAAAGGAAAAAGGGCTTGGTGAATCTATTGTGGAAGGAAACAATGTCACCAGAAGAGAAAGATTTAAGGCGATTACTAACATACGCCATCACCTCAATGAGAGTCTCAAAATCAGTACCTCACTATTAAGAATCCTCTGGACCTCAGGACAAAGTTGAAAAAAAAAAAAATCAATATAACCACCAAAGAACAGTGCTATTACCCAAAAGCCCGACTCGATCGAAAGAATCTCAGATTCCAGGAATTCAAATCCATGAATGAGTATAACTCAGCACTATTTAAAATAGTGTCAATACTGAGATTCCGTGGTGAGGAACTTACTGAGAATGACTTGGTAGAGAAAGCATTCTCGACCTTTCACACAAACAATATATCGCCTCAGCAACAATATCGTGAAAAAGGTTTTTACCACATATGCAAGTCTAAACTCTTGTTTTGCTACTTGCTGAGCAAAACAAT